CGTCGAAGAATCTTTCTGGCTTTCGCCATAGAAATAATATGTGGCAGAGTACGAGTTCTGGAGCCATAATAAGTGATCTGATCATTTCCCAGCAGATAAAGAGTAATCTCCCGGTCATAACATCGAATATCTGCGTGGAAACGAATTATCCAATCCATACCGAGTATGAGGTCAAAATCCCTCATCTCGATAACATAAGTATCAGTAATCAGAATACGGCCGCCGATGAAAAGGCTGAGATCGGTGGCTCTAGCGTCAGTCACTATCTTTCTTCCCGAGGCTAAACTCACCTCGAGAGGATCGACAGCGGTAGTGGAACGAACCCCAATAGCTTCGAGACATCGTCGTGATATAAAAGAATGGGTCGCTCCGGTATCAAATAAGGCATAGACAGGCACATCATTAAGAATAATCATCCCGGGCATGGTACCTGGGTGTTGGTCGGCCTCCCTCTGATCAACTGCAAAGACGCGAGCTTGCTGTCTGCCGCGTTGCTGTTGCTGTGGTCGTGGTGGTTGCTGCCTGGGCTGCTGTTGTTGAGGTTGCTGTGGCGGTTGACATTGTTGCGGTTGTTGTTGCAATCGTTCTAGACAGTTGGTGCTGAAGTGACCTGGCTGACGGCAAAAGAAACAAACATTCTGACCCACGAGGCACTCTCCACGATGGTGTTTCCCGCATGTAGGGCATTCTGGTATTGTCTTCTGTCTTTGGCGGTTCCTGCGATCATCTAGGCCTCCTTTGAACTTCCTTTTATTCTTGTTGGTTGATGGTTGGGCAACTTTGGGCTGGGCTGGTGGCTGAGCAACTGACTGGGCTGGTGTCTGGGTGGCTTCTCGTCGGATACTGGCATGAACTTCCTGTGCAATGGCGACTGCGTGGGCATAGGTCTGGACGCCATGGCCTACGATGTTGTGGCGGACTGCTGGGCGAAGTCCGTCGGTGAAACGGTGGGCTCTCTTTGCTTCCGTACCTACAAGATCTGGTACAAAGGCTCCGAGACGAGTGAACTCTCGTTCGTACTCGTCAACAGTACGAGTACCCTGAGTGAGTGCCAAGAACTGGCGCTCCATGTCTGCTCGGTAATACGAGGGATAATACTTTTCTCGGATCAGCTCCTTGAACTAGTCCCACGTACGACCGTCTTTTTCACCGGGACGCATACTCCAATAGGCTTGCCACCAGAGTCTGGCATCACCGGTCAGCTGGATCTGGGCACATAACATGCGATAACGATCAGGGTAGTTCATGACCTCGAAAATAATCTCGAGGCCCTGAACCCATTCATCTACTACACGAGGATCTCCTTGGTCGGAAAACTTTTCTGGATGGTAGTCGCGGAACAAAGCGACCACTGTGGCCTGTGGGAGTTCCTGGTGATCTGGCTCTCTACGAGGAGGCATCTGAACATTGAAATATTTAACATGATTAAATAACATAAGAGATTAACTGACTGATTACTTAAATACACAAATCTCTTGAAGAGTCGCTAAATAACCCGAGAATACTAAAGTCAAACTATCAAATGACTGGGACAATCGACTAAGTTCCGAAAATACTCGAGCATCTTACTGGTTTCTAGGGTCAATAGTCTGGTACCCTCTACTGAGCATAGACTTAAGTATTCGTTTAAATACATATAAACTGTAACTCAGCACTTACCTGGTAGTCGGCGAGGCGTGAGCGTAGCGTGGTCGGGTCTTTTCTGAAAATTCCTGACTTTAAAAGTATTCAGATACACGAAAATGTGCTCTGATACCAATTTGTAACACCCCGCTAGTCTACTAAAATCAAAGTGCGATTTTCGCAAATCCTTTTCTAAAGTTTACGTTTATTTTGCGAAATATGTGTCGGGATGCTACATACTATATTTCTTTTCTAAAATCCTTTAACTATAAACTTATTTAAGAAAAACGGATTATCACGATAAAAACAAGCGTGTGATACTGTATAAAAACTAGACCCGAAAACTCGGATCGTTATCTAAAAATTTACACGCTAGTTTGAAAGTCTGAAAATGTCAGCGGAAGTAAAACGTGGCAAATATATACATATCAACAGTCTGCAAAAATATAAACATAATTATATGTACTGGACCGGCGACCACCAGCTCCACTCACTCCTCCGGACCGACCCTGTCTCCAGAAAAGAATCATAATAGTGGGAGCATGAGTACTATAAACACTGTACTCCGCAGAAACTCATACTAAAATAAACATCAATAATAATATCAATATCATGACTGCAGGTATATATAAGTAAACTGTAAACTCCAGACACAAGGTCTGTACGGAACTGAACCTCCTCGGACACTATGTCCGTCCATGTACACATTCTGATGGCCTATTAAGGCTACTGCGCCTCCACCGGAACTCGGGATGGCCTATTAAGGCTACTGCGCCTCCACCCAGAGTGGAATAACTCATATACATACCTTAAAACATGATAGAGCAATTATAACCAATGTAATACCCAGTCTGAGTCCCCACCTGTACTGATAATGTAAGTGCTGCTGCTGATCACTCTGTAAAAATTATATAAATAAACAAATACTAAGTTGTAACGCCCCACTTTTATTTGCCAAAATTCAAAATAAATTTTTTGAAATTTATTTCAAAACACTTGAGGCGCTACCCACTTTCAAAACGAACATCAATACTTAACTAATTTTTTTCCAATACTCAATCAATTATCAATCCTCATTCATCAATATTAAAAATCTCAATAATCAATAATGCAATCCAAGCATTCCAATAATCAATATCCTAGGGAATACACTCCCTCTCAATAATCCAGTAATCGATAATAGAGAAATCAATAATAGCAATATTCAGTTCAAGGCGGAAGCAATTTCAATAATATTAAGACCACCACTCGCATTCCTCCGTCGTGCCTGCACTTACTAACCTGCATCCATGAAAAGCAGGTGGGGATGAGCACAAGAAGAAACAGTAGTGCTCACCACTATGCAGTAAATGTTAGTCTCAATAATAAATAGTACCAATAATCAAAGGTATGGTCTCAGTATGTATACGAAGCAATAATCTATCCCATCTCCCATCAATAATCAATATTCTAACTCATGTGCACACCTATATCAATAGACTACTGCTGACTATATATCGAATGTCCCCCCGGACTTACATCGAGTGTCAGCCAGTAGGAGTTACCCCCGTCGGCCGAGCACCGCCCTGACTCACAACGAGGAACCGACCGAGCACCGCCCTGGTCTCATAATCCCGACCGAGCACCGCCCTGGTCTCATAATCCCGACCGAGCACCGCCCTGGTCTCATGCCTCGACCGAGCACGGCCCTGGTCTCACAGGCGCATAGGGGAGATTACCCTAACGGGGTCCGTTCTACAACAAAGTGGATAACCGTTCGACGGCCGACACAGCTCACATCGAAGGCTACAAATGTTCCACATGCATACTTTGATCATACCATAAGGAAACAATAATGATGGTTTTAACATTTACAGCATAGACAATTTTTCAAAACCCACCTGGTACACGGAGAAAGAAATCACAGAAAATCGGGGGAAAAAGGTAGGCCGGAAACACAGCTCGTCAAACACCTACATTACACAAAATAGCCCTATAAAAGAAACTATCCAACACGCGAATACTTATAACTATATTCGTGCGATATCACTCAACCACATAGTTCATAATAGCATGTTTGCACCACGAACTCGCATAGCCTCGGTACTTTCAAAATAACAGGAGTTACAAGTAAGCTATTTAGGTGACTCCAAAACCAATGAGTAGCTAACACATATATCCACAAGTTTATATTGATCACTTAAGCCAACAACAACTTTAAGACCGAGACTAAGCATAAAACACTTAGGTCAAGAAATCTGCCAAGATTTTATAATAACTGCATGCATGATCAACTTAAAAAAATTCATAATAAATTCAAATCAACTCCAAATTTCGAAATTCTAAATCTCACTGAACACTAACTCAATGTACTACATTTCATGTGAAAAACTCAACTTTTACAAACATTATTCACGGCATATAAAACTCAACCCTCAAAGGAAATTAAATCACAATTTCTTAAAGTGGGGCAGATTAAAATATCTTTTATCATTTTTTACTTTTTTTTTTTTTTATTTTAAAAAGGCTTTTGGACTCACACTTCTAATCACATCACATGGCCTTTAAAACTCCATTTCACCAGATATATCAGCTCATAACAGAGGTTAAATTTGTTGCACATAATTTCAATTTTTCTAAATAAAAGGGTCTCCATCTCTCGGCATTTAAGCTCGACTTTAAAACACAACTCAAGCCCCTTTTCAAACACTAACATACCAGGTATATTTAGCTCCATTTTAGAGGTTTAAAACTCAGCAAAACAACTCAGAAAAACCGCAGCATGAAAACAACACGTTTTAGCAATCAAAAGAGGCTCGATAATAGGCGATTTTTCTCTCAATTCTCGATCGACTTAAGAGCTTTTAAACCTCAACTTTTCCTGATAATTAACACTGTAATATCTCATATTTTCATAGGTTTAAATCCCAGAAAAATGCAGCAACTCAAATAAAATTTTCGAAACCCGGCAAGGCTCCGAACAAGGCAATATATATATATCCAGATTTACTCAAACGACTAAGATTATTATCCCGACCATTTAATGCTATAAAATCATGAAATTTTCAGAGGCTATACAGTACCATAATCGAGACTCCAACATCCAATAATAATTTATAACTCAATCTTTCTCACGAATTTCTCATAATCGCAATAGCGTCTACGCATTAACCTTATGCATTTAACCATTCCAAACAACTTATGGAATAAAAGAGGGTGATCCGTTTTATACCTCCTTCAAGGGTTTAAAACACGAAGGTTGAAGGGAGACAAAAAAAAAGAAGCCTCAGACGTGCAATCGGCCTCGGCTTTTGGCTTTCTTTGCTGTTTGTTGGGTTCTCACGCACGGTCGCTGTTCGAGAAACTCCAGCACGCTAACCTCTGTGATGGTTAGATACGGCAGAGGCTCCTAGATCGCATCTCTTGCTCGCAATCACTCCTTCTCTGCTGGTTCCGGGGTTGGCCGCTCGAAGGTACGACTGTGGCGAGGAAGGAAAAGTGCGACAGGGCTTGCGATGGAGGTGGTCGGGAGCACTGATCAGCCGAGAGAGGGATGGACTTTTTCCTCTTTATACGATCACGAGAGAGATGCGAGTATGATGAGAGCGATGGATTACAAGAGAAAGAGAGATTAAGGGAGATAATCGATTCTTCCATTTTTCTGCTATGCACGCGACAAGCGAGAGATTTAGAGAGAAAGCGGGGTGTCTTTGGGGTTTGAACGATTCTGAGGAAAAACAACTTCTCCCGTTTCTTAAGTAGACGAGAGAGATTAGGAGAGATCGGAGAAGAACGTGCGAGCGATTTGAGTGAACGTGCCCAAGAAAATCGCAACTAGGAAGATGATGGACTTGGTCCCCGCTTGAAGGAATTATCTCTTATGTTCTCAAATCCAAGAAGAGGAATTTACACCTTCCACTTAAACAAATTAAAAATATTACAAAATTAAAACCCCTATATAATTATTTACAAATTAACTAAATTTGTTAAATTTATTTGCATATATACTTACAAAAACTGATCTCCTATTT